GCCTTTAGCATATAAGCCTGTTGGGGGCATTCACAATTGCATTATCCTTGGAAATTAAAACACTTGGAGAATATAATATAAATAATAATATAATAAAGATAATATTCAACTGCACTTTGGGAAACATGGAGAGAAAATTGAAAAAAAAAAGGAAACATATGAGGTGGTGAGTGCTAGTAAAGCAAGGAAGGGGGCAGAGAATATAGGGAGGACCACAGTTTTTATTTTACATAAAGAATTCTTTAAGGCCCTTCCAGGTGGCTGATTAATCACAACTTGAAGACATTTAGGAGTATGGCATGGTATTATCCCTAATATCAGCAGAAAGCAGGTGATATTTGGAAGGGAGGTAATTCAAGGACTTTTCAAAGCCTTATTTATTTATTTATTTATTTTTGTATTGGTTTTGGGGCTTGAACTCAGGGCCTGGTCACTGTCCCTGGGCTTTTTTGCTCAAGTCTAGCACTCTACCACTTAAGCCACAGCTAGAGTCTTTGCTACCACTTAAGCCACAGCTAGAGTCTTTGTGGACATTCCTGACTGAGCTGGCTTGAAACCACGATCTTCAAATCTTAGCCTTCTGAGGCATGAGCCACCAATGCCCAGCATTATTTTCCAAGACTGTATAAAGGCATAGGTCTCAGCAGGCGCTGGTGGCTCATACCTGTAATTCTAGCTACTCAGGAGGCTGAGATCTGAGGATTGTTCAAAGCCAGCCTGGGCAGCCAAGTCTGTGATACCTTTTTTTTTTTTTCTTTTGGTCATTCGTGGGGCTTTAACTCTGGGCCTGGGCACTGCCCTTGAGCTCTCTAGGTCAAGGTGAACCCTCTACTACTTGAGCCACAGCGCCACTTCTGTTTTTTTTTTTGGTGTATTGGGGATCAGAGTCTCATGGACTTTTCTCAGCTCTCAGCCTCCTGAGTATCTAGGATTATAGATGTGGGCCATGGCACCTGGCTTCATGAGACTCTTATCTCCAATTAACCAGAAAACCAGAAGTGGTGCTGTTGCTCAAGTGGTAGAGCACTCCCCCTGAACAGAAGAGCTGAGGGACAGCGCCCAGGCTCAAAGTTCAAGCCCTACAACCTACAAAAATAAATAAATAAAGGTGTAAGTCTCAGGGAATCAGTTAGTGAAGTAACATGGGGCTTACAGGTAACTGAATTCTTACCTTTTGTTTGGAGAGAGGAGCCATTATTATGCCATCTGGGACAAGAGTCCCATAGTTGGCTGCTGTCTGAGCCATGACCTCTACATAAAGGATGCAGGATGACCTGTCTGGGAACAAGTTTGAGCAATAATAATATGGCCTTGGTCAGCTCCTTCCTGCCAGGGTTTCTTCATGGACACACCCAACCAGATGTTAGAGGGCATGATATCCTTTGCTAGAGGTTATGGGGTCAGCCTCCTGCTGCATAGAGCCAGGACTATGAGGAGGTACCCACAGAGAATGTCTGGCGTACGTATTCCAGGCTGTAAAGAGTAGCTAGTCCAAAGCTCCTGTAGGTTTAGTGAAGCCATGCAGCCTGCTCATGGCTGTCTTCTGCCTACAGATGGATGAGCTCCAAGGATCAGTGAAGCAGCTGCAGGCATTCATGGATGAAAGTACCCAGTGCCTCCAGAAGGTGTCAGTACAGCTCCGTAAGTGTGCTGCTTATAGTAATGTACCTAATAACATTTTGTGTTTCAAATTGCCCTTCTGAGCAAGCACCATGGTTCTCAGGATAATGCTTCTATCAAGTGATTTAATTTTCTCCCCACAATACGTAGTATACTGATGTGAAGTGTGTGGGTGTATATTCTACAGAAGCATTCCATGAACTGTGTGGTGTCAGATCCAAGCCAAAAAAATTCGTGCTACCTTTAACAACTCTTCAATTCTTGAGAATCCCCCAAATCACACTTACATTGTACCTCCATAGTTTTTCCTGTTTTCAGCTCTAAATCATTTGCTATACACATCTTCACTCATTTTTCACTTATATTGTTGCAATCACGCCTGGCTTTCCTACCACTGTAATTGTGCCCTTTCTTTGAGGACAGGCACCCTCAGATTTGTCATTGTGATGCCTTCACTGTCAGGCAGTATACATACATAAGTTTCCAGTTTTCTTTTCGCTTTCCTCTGCAGAAAAGAGAAGCATGGAACAATTAGATCATTCACCTGCTCGAAAACTGCTCAAACTTCACCTACAGAACCCTATCACACAGTGCTCTTCATCTTGTCAGTGATGTTACCCAGATTTTCTGCCATGCAATCGTCAGAAGATAGGACTAGGAAGAGTATCCCAGCATGTGGTGTTTCTGTGGCATTCTGGACTGGAAAGTTCTGTCTGTTGCCCTTGAGGATATTTGGCTGATGGCAGAGAACTTGGACTTTTTTCAGAGTGATGGAATTTGTGCATCCAAAAGAATGTTGAAGACATACTTTCTCCTGGAACGTTCAAAATGCTCAAAGCCTCTTTTTTGAAATGGCCTTCAGAATCAGCTGCTCGTTCTGTTAAATATCCTTCATGGTCAGAACTGTTCATCTATTCTTGTTTTATCTGGTTTTGTTTTGGGTGCCGATACTGGGGCTTGAATATAGGCCCCCATGCTCTCAGCTCAGCTTCTTCACTCATGGCTGGTATTCCACTCGCTTGAGCCACACCTTCAATCTGGTGTTTTACTGGTTAATTGGGGATAACTCTTGTGGATTTTTCTGCCAAGGATGGCTTCAAACTTTGATTTTTCACATCTCAGCCTCCTGAGTAGCTAAGATTATAGGTATGTGCCATTGTTACCTACTGTAAATAGATTTTTCAACCCAAGTCAATTAGGACCATGCTTAATGAATCATTTTAGGGGCCAAGAACATGGAGCATTGTTCACAAATGTCCAATTTTAAGGAAAGACTACTCATTGTCTGTATCCTAATGTATATCGTGTGCTTTAGTTTTGATACTGAGTTGACATCTTTTGAGTTAATACTAAGGGATAAGACTACTTTTAGGGGTTTTTTTTGTTTTTTCTTTTTCTAGGGCTGAGAGTAAATTCCAGGGCCTCATACATGGTAGATTGGTTCTCTACCACTAAGCTACTGCTCAACCCCTGAACTTGATTTGGAAAAAGTCACTATTTGCTCAGTGGGTAACAGAAGCAAGCAAGATGTAGATATGAAGAGCAGTTAAGCTTCTACTGAAGTTGAGGTGAGAAGTGATAGCTTGTGCTAAGTGTTAAGTGGATGAATGCGATGTGTTACTCATGGTGTCCGGAACATAATCGATATGTAACCTGTCTCTTAAAAACCCAATCCTAAAACAAACAAAAAACGAATCTTGTCACTTCCTGTGACAGAAGTCATTTAATCTCTTGTCTGTAAGGTTGGAAGAATGGTAGAATCTATAACTCTGGGATACCATAAAGATTAAACAATATAGGTTTAGAACAGCGGGGAAGCTAATAAATCAATTTGTGATATCAAATGGAGAATTCAACTACACTATCAGATATACGGATGGAGAACTGGGTAGTAAAGTGTGGGGCTAGAGATACAGTATGAGAGTAATGTTTAGTTTGAAGACTTTAGAATGGATTATTGTCCACAGTAGAACAAGAGGGGAAGTTTGAATCTCAAAGCCAACATTTAAGAATCAGGAGCCATGTTGATGACCTACTGTTTCAGATGCAGAGTGGTATCACACAGAGTGTAGAGCTTAGAGAGAGTCTCTTATTCTGAGTGTTTTTTTAAATTTGATTATTGCTAATATAAAGTTGATGTTCAAAGGGAGCTACATAAGTCAGATGAAGAGTACATTTCTTTTTGAACATTGTCACCCCTTCCCTTGCTTTCTCCCAGATTTCCCTCCCATACCTACCCACAAGTTGTATAGTTCATGTTCAACAGTGTCTAGTGAGTATCACTGCTTTTTGTTCACCTCTGTCCCTCCATTTCTGTGCTTTTCTGAGTTTCTTTATAAAATGGGGATAAACCACCTCTACCCAAAGGTGATTCAACCTTTTTTGTTTGAATTTGATGAGGATAGGAAGTGTATTCAGTGACTTCGACAGCTAAACAGAATGGAATATTAAAAAATAATATCTATTGAGTCTAAGTATCAATTAGCTCTTTAAAAACCTAGATTCTGTTTTTTGTCACTCTAGATGAGGAACTCAGGTATAGAGAGCTTAATTCAATGACGTGTGGATAGTAATGGAGGGTGAACATGAATCAATTTGACATTCAGTAAATATTAACAAATAAACATAATCCATACAAGAAAGCGCCATACCCAAATTTGGTTCAGAAATTGTGCTCAATGAGTAACATTATCTCTGCCTTTTGAGATGCTTGGTTGTATTTATTTCATTTGCCTAAAATAATAACCTTTAGTCAATGATACTCAGTGTAAATAAAAAGTAATATGCGCTAAGGGGATGAGGTTATGTCCTGTACATTTTGATATTAAATTGTTGAGTCATTAAACTTAATAGGTGAAGTCATTGTGGAAAAATCCACCTCTTGTTATACTCAAGCAAGCAAGCAGTATGGCTGCCAGTTGTAATAGAGCCGATACAAAAGACTTGGAGATGGGAGCCCTCAATCCCGTAATTCCATCCCAAATCACTGTTCGTTCCTCAAAATGTGCCGGAGTCCCTCCCACGTGCCGAGCACTGGGTGGGCGCCACGTGACCTTGCGTGTGGCCTGCGGTCCTCTGAAAGCGGGCACACCGGGTAAGATTCGTAGGGGCTTCCTAAGGATGTGACTCAGAGGAAGAGGTGGAGGCTGTGCGGACTGAGCACTGAAGTCGCCGGGCTCCCGACAATTCTAGGTCTGGGAGGAAACCCTGCAGCAAGAAAAACTACATCCAAGATGGCGCAGCCGGCTCCTCCTATACTGTCCGCCATTTTTTCGGTAGTTCCTCAGGCGGGTGGATGCGGTGCGCGTGCGTGAAGCTCGCGCGTCTGCAGTGCGCAGACGCGGACGCTCAGTCTCTCTCGCCGCGTCCCCCCCCCCCCCCCCCACCTTCCCTCCCGCCCCTCTAGCCGCTGCCTCAGCTGCTGCCGCTGCCACCGAGCTGACCACCGGCTTCGCACCTCAGGTGAGTAAGAGCCTGGGTCTCGCCACGGGGGGCGCGCAGCGCGGGGTGGCTCTCGGGGGCGTCTCCTCCCGGATCTCCTGGCCTGGCTGTGGTGCGGCGGGGCCTGGGGTCCGCTATGCCAGCCTCCTCCCGGGCTCGGTACCGTGTGTCCGCCTGCCGAAGCCGAGTCAGCCTCCCTCGGCCGCTCGCGGCCCGGCAGCGGCGCGGCGGAGCCTCGCTCCGGACTCCGGCGCCCTGGTGCACGGGCCGCCCGCAGGCCTCACCGCGTTCCCGCTCCCGGAGCGCGGCAGTGCTCGGGTTGGGCTTCCCCAGCCGCCCTGGCTGCCCTCGGCGGAGGGGGCTTGGAAGAGGGGCCGCAGCGCGCCGGAGCTCGCGCCGCCCCGGAGCCCACACGCACCCTCTGTCGGGGAAGAGCTTCGTAGACCCGGTTTAGAGTGGAGGAAACCGAGGCGTAGAGAGGTGAAACGCCAAGCCCAAGGTCATGGGGCTGACAAGTGCCACGGCCAGCAACTGGAACTCAGGGGCTTGGGCTCTGAGGATAGTGCCAGTTAGAATTTGCTCTCCTATCTTTAAATTTTTTGTTGTTGTTGTTGTTTTTAATGCACTTACTGTCTCTGGAGTTGCTCTTCATTGTTGTTAAGTGGGCTGCGAACAGACTAGCTTCGTGTCAGAGTCCAGTTGAGGGGCCACTGTGAGACCATAGCGGTATGAATAAGAGCTGCCTGCCTATCATCCAGCACTTGTGTGCCAGAAATCTTGTTAAGCATTTTATTAAGATCATCGCACTTCTTAATCCAATGCTTCCTCCTTGGTCTTCAGAGCTTCCCTCCTTATCATAGGTAGGCTAGAGGACTGGAGAGGGAAGCCTTGCCTGCCTGCATCCACATTTCCCTCCCAAGCTGTCCCCAGAGGGTTATTATTAGTCTTCTTTCCTAGTTGTTGCCTGGAGAGCAGGACCAGGCTGGCTGGACTTGGAGGTGACAGAGCAGATTTAGCCATCTTTCACCTCATTTGGGGACTTGCTGGCTCTGCTCCAGTTCTAGTCTTGAACGTTTCAGTGTTTAAGTAAAAAGAGAAAGGGCCGTAACCCAGTGGTGCTAAATCTAAGAAGCCTCTTTTGATTTGGAGTCCCAAAGGAACAGCTCTAAAAAATATGTGTGTTTTGCCAAGGAACTAACTAGCTCAAACTGCCTTTTTACCCTTTGCAAATACTCCTCTGCACTTAAAAGGCCCACTAAATTTCATCCTCTGCGAAGCCTTCCCTGTTTGCTTTTCCCAATTAGAATAAAACATATCACAGGGTAGAGGTCTCTGTCTTACCTAACATAGTCTTTTGGGTTCAGGGACCATCTTTGCAATCCCAAATGCCTGGCTATTAGTAGACTCAGTGAATTTCCACTGCTTCTTTCATTACTAAGGGCAATATTCTTGCTGCCTTTCTTTTTCATCCTCTCACCTTCCCATTTCTCTTTGCCTCAGTCCCTTTAGACTTAATATCTGATCAAACCACCATTCAGTTCAAAGACCAGTCTACCCTGTTGTTTATGAAAAGTTACATTTAAGTATCTTGCTCAAGAGGTTAATTCATCCCCAGCATTGGAGATGGTATATGCTGCTAAAGCCTACAGGGCATGTTGCAGTAGGGAGGGCTGAGGAATACAATTTTATAGTCTATCCTTAAGTGCTTATGACATACTCTTTATTTTTTTTTATTTTTTTTTCCTATGTGGGGAAACTAGCCATGGTGATAGCAGAGTTATTCTAGTTTTTACTGTATACCAGTAAATATTCAATGAATATTCAAAAGGAGGCAGTAGATATGGGCAATTTCTCTATATAAATGAAGCTTCTTAAACAGTTTTTCCAAATAATATTCTGCAGATATATGGAACTGATATGTGTGAGTGTGGAGGAAGATTCACAGTTGAATAAAGCATGTTTCCTGTTGAAACAGTTTAATTTAGAAACACCATAACTATAATTCAAGTCTAAAAATTTCCCTGTTAGATTATAAACAAAGCAACATGAGACTATAATGGAATAAAATATTCCAACATGGAACCTTTCATAAAGTCATATTTTATTCAAGTTGAAAACAAGCATTGAGTCTAACCCTATCACTTTTGTAGACATCATACTGGGAAGTGAACTCATCCAAGGTCATAGAACTAGGACTACAGCTTGAAGTTGCAGACTTTTTTTTTTTTTTTTTTATTATAAAGCTACTATACAGAGGGTTACAGTTACATGAGTGAGGTTATGAGTACACTTCCTCTTGAACATTGTTACCCCCCTCCATTGTTTTCCCCCTACCATCCCCTCCCTCCCTCCCTTCCCCAAGGTTCTTTTTTTTTTTTTTTTTTTGATTGTGATTAAATGATTACATAATTTCAAAGTCACAAGTTCATTCTAACTTCCCTGGAGCAAATTGTCTACCACAGTCTGTAATATATAACAGTGTTCACATGTTATATACCATATTTGTGATCAGCAGCATGAGGATATTTAGTAGTGGTTCAACCAGATGAGCGGGAGTTCTTTGTTTCTTAAGTCCTGTTAGTTTTGTCGTATCACCTAACCTTTTGGATTTAGCATCCACTTATGAGGGAGACCATGTACCGTTTGTCTCTTCGTTCTTGGCTTACCTCGCTCAACATGATTCCTTCTAGCTCCATCCATTTCCCTGCAAATGCCATTATTTTGTCATTTCTAATGGCTGCATAATATTCCATTGTGTATAGATACCACAATTTTTGGATCCATTCATCTGTGGTGGGGCACCTAGGTTGTTTCCATATCCTAGCTATTGCGAACAGTGCTGCAATAAACATGGAGGTGCACGTGTCCTTGTATATTGGTTCCTGTTGTTCAGGGTAGATGCCTAGAAGTGGTATGACTGGGTCGTAAGGGAGGTCAATCTTTAGCTTTCTAAGGACCCTCCAGACTGCTTTCCAAAGTGGTTGTATAAGTGTACATTCCCACCAGCAGTGTAATAGGGTTCCTCTTTCTCCACATCCCCTCCAGCATTTGTCGTTGGCTGATTTGTGGATGTGGGACATTCTGACTGGGGTAAGGTGGTATCTCAGGGTTGTCTTTATTTGCATTTCCTTCACCACCAGGGATGATGAACATTTCCTCATGTGTTTCTTTGCCATTTTTATTTCTTCATTTGAGAAGTCCCTCTTTAGTTCCCTTGCCCATTTAGTAATTGGTTTGTTAGGTTTGGGAGGGATTAGTTTCTTGAGTTCCCTGTATATACAGGATGTTAACCCCTTGTCTGATATATTGCTGGTAAATATTTTTTCCCAATTAGTTGGTTGTCTTTCTAGCTTAGTTGCGATAGATTTAGCTGTGCAGAAGCTTTTTATTTTAAGGTAGTCCCATTTGTCGAGTCTCTCTCCAACTTGTTGTGACCCTGGGACTCTGTTCAGGAAGTTCCTTCCTGTGCCTATTAGTTCAAGTGTCTCTCCTACTCTGTCCTGCAGTAGTTTCAGAGATTCAGGTTTAATGTTAAGGTCTTTAATCCATTTTGAGTTGATGTTGGTGCATGGTGATAGGCTGGGGTCCACTTTTAGTTTTCTGCATGTGGCTGCCCAGTTTTCCCAGCACCAGCGGTTGAAGAGGCTGTGTTTCTTCCATTGTATGTCTTTGGCTCCTTTGTCGAATATCAGCTGGCTGTAGGCCTGTGGATTTATATCTGGATCTTCTATTCTGTTCCATTGGTCTTCGGGTCTGTTTTTGTGCCAGTACCATGCTGTCTTTGTGATTATAGCTCTGTAGTAGAGTTTGAAGTTCGGCATGGATAGCCCTCCCATATTGTCTTTATCCCCTAGAATTGTTTTGGCTATTCTAGGTCTTTTGTTGTTCCATATAAATTTTTGGACTGTTTTCTGTATTTCAGTGATGTACGTCATTGGGATTTTAATAGGAATTGCATTGAATTTGTAAGTTGCAGACTTTTTATCCATTAATGATTTGTCAGGGTTGGGTGTGTAACTCAGTAGGAGAAGGCATGAGTAGCATGCTTAAGGTTTGATCACTAGCACTGTAAAATGAATAAATAAAGTTTACCAGTTTTTCTTCTCTTTTTTTTTTTTGGTGAATTCATCTTTAAAGACATTAACCAGCAACCCTATTAAAATTCTACTTATGTTCTTAGATCAGAGGTGAGGGAAAATAAAAATATATATAATTTATGTGGTCAGGGAGCTTATTTGTTGAGGAAGATTAAAGAACTATCTGCTAATGTATATTGTAAATTGTTAAGTTGTATGGTAGAGAGCTTAGATTTGTCATGGGAGTTGGGGGAAATGGCTCAAACGGAGTTTATAGAATGGGTTGTGGTAGTAAGACCATTTTGGAGAAGGGTTTAGGACCTTCAAGGTTTGACAGACTGATAGGGTCAAAGTCAAAAGGATGAGGAAAACATTTTGAAGCAGGGGTGATAAAAATGAGACAAGATAATAGTGTCTGCCATGTTTAGGGATGGTAAGAATTGGCTTGGCTAGTAGAGTGGCAGCTCTCAACCTTTACTGTGCATCAGTCACTCAGACAAGTGTATTAGCACCTGTACTGCTGAGCCTACCTCTGGAGTTTATGATTCAGGAAGTCTTGAGTGGGGCCTGAGAATTTGAAGTTCTAAGAGTATCCTAAATGATGATGATGCTACTAGTCCAAATGGCATACTTTGAGAAACACTAGATTAGAAGGTTGAAAAGCTACAATCAGAAATTATCAAAGAACTTGTTCCAAAAGGTAGGTGGGGTGTGTGTGTGTGTGTGTGTGTGTTGTACACTAGCAGGGGACAGTTCTGGAAAAGTACATAGCAAACAATAGTAGACACATAAGGAAATGGGATTTAGAGGATAGGGAAATTAGTTTTACCTTATATTTTCCTATGCTATTTTTGCATTGTGCATATATTGGTTTTGTATTCAAATGGAAAGAAAACGAGTCATTTTTGAAGATACATACTGGTGGATTAAAAAAAAGCTTTCTAA